CCGAAGGCGTCATTAAGGGTACTTGATTTATCTTCAAGGTAGTGTGTGCTGTGGCGCATAGCCTGAATATAGAGAATGCCCACTGTGATGGATGCAGGCCTGGACTGTCTGCGCTGGGGATGACGGTAGCACCTAATAGATACGGTGCAAGCATGACGCGGATCTGGGTCTGCACGAGCCTTGCTCGCTGAAGGAATTCTTGCGAGTCTGATGAGGTGAAATTGAGCAGATGCTGCGTAAACTCCAGCCGATCTGCATATCGTTTAACAATGACATGGATGAGAGCCTTCCAGTCTATACCGCTTCCCGGGTCTGGTCGATTAATGACTTCCGTGAGTTGTCTCATCACCCTCGATATGTCCTCTGATGAAATTCCGAGCAGCCGGTGGTCCCACCGTTCAAGGCCCGCACGAACCGGAACGAGGGAAGGTGCCAGTGCGACATCATACAGTGAAACAAGACCAGTCAAGTCGAGCTTAATGCGAGATTCTCCTGGGTAATGATTGTGCCATGAGCCGGAGTGCATGGCTTCAATTATGCGATCGTCTGCGCTCAGGAACAAATGAAGTCAGTCGTATTGGAACAAAACGGGAACAAAATACTGACGGACACCGGTGGTTGGTGAGGAAGGACTGCGGTGGAGTTCCTCTGTCCCATAGACCCGGACGTGTAGGAAAGATACTACTTCGACACCGGCCGTGAAATCACATAACATAATTTCACTAGAAAGTCGTCAGTCGCATGTGCGACACAATCGAAAGTATGCGCACAAGTCCATTTCCATCCTAAAAATCTAAGAATCAGTCATATACCATAGCGAGGTGATTGACTAACCTCGCAAAACCATCGATTCTTAACTCCTTTCCCCATCTACAGAGATCTTTAATCCGTGACATTTCATCCATGTATCGCTCAGGTTGCACTTTCCCCCAAGCTACTATATCCTGCGTGTCCAATGTACCCTCGGATACCTTAGCAGCACCATTTCCATCAAAGTACAAGACCCTGAGAGGTCGCGTTGCTTCCAGCGTGAGGTGCCAGCCATTCCCATCCATTCCACGAGTGAAAGCAAGAGAATGCTCTGGGTCCATAGCGATCCATTCGGGCTCATTGGGTATCGTGTTGCTGGTGGTGCCATGGTAGAGCAAAGTACCAGTTGGAATCACTCCAGGGACGATGTTATGTCCTATAAAAAGATGAAACCTGATCGGTAAAGCAACGGTAATTAATACGTACCATTACGATATCGAGTGTTTGGCCAGTGTTGGAGGAGCGAATGGACAGTGTCAAAGATCAAGTTTCCTGTTGTGTTCTCGGCGGGACCCTCGTCAAGCCTCCATTGCTTGTTCTTGGAACTGAAATTAGATGAATGTGGTTTGTCACTGTTCAAGTTGGCGACATCAAAGGGTCGAACGTCAGCTTCCCCAGGAGTGCCGAGGGGAAATTGTTGGTCATGGAGAGCTAGAGCTGCTAACCCAAGGCTCAGAGCAGCCACAAGGGACTGGCATCGCATTGTAAAACTGCCAGAGAGATATTGACGTTATCGCATCTTTATCAGACTTGTGGTTACCAGGGTTGCTTGGCAAAACTGTTTGTGCTTCGAAGAGTCGCGGAGATTTAGAAGATCTGTACATTCTTCGAAATGTGGTAAGCTCCAACTGGTGTAGAAGTATTACGAACAGCTGTTCAAATTTCAAATCTGGCAAAACATGTCTTGCGCCGTACTTGATCAGCAGATGGAGAAGGGCTTGAAATACTGTAACATTCTTGTTCATTCCCGTAGCATCTTAAAAGCATTGGAGATGAACAACAGCTCGTTCAAGCATTGCTGGCCAGTGAGTTTCGAGATGTTCAAGTTTTTTTCGAGTCGGTAGCGGATACGGACAGAAATTTGGGCCAGGTAAGAAATTTAAAAGCAGCAGCAAGTGCGACGGCAATATCCGAGTCAATACGGAACAGCCGCCGTTTGGAGCGAGTGTTGATCATGATAAAACCGCACTGAGTGACTCTGGTCCGAGTCGAACGTTGATGGGAGACAAAATTAGACCATTCAGTTTCGCTAGAAGGTTTATACCTCAGATAAGAGGACCTGCCAGTGCACTATACGCTGCAGACGTGGTGTATCGTATACCTTGATGACTCGGAGGTGTCTAGGCTACCACATGCATATCTAACATATACTAGTATTTTCACTTCACCAACAATGCCCATCCGTAATTCTCAAGAGGCCCGGGGTAAATAGAAAAAAGTACATCTATCAGATCAGTGACTCACAACTGCAAGAATGATGCGAAGGCCCATGGATTAAAATCCGTACGGCGAGAGGCGCCTAATGCACTTCGGCTGAGGCTTCCTCCATTCCTCCATCGGCGTCTGCACGACTTCATCAGAAAGATAATCTACTTCTGCTGGTGCATCCGTAGTGTTCCGCGGGTCCCGCGGAGGTTGACGTGGATGCCTTGGCCCGGGGGCACTGCCGGGCCAAGTAGGAAGATAACATATTTCCTGCAAGTACATCATGCTCAGTCTGCTGGCCTAGGGGAAAAGTCGTTTGAATCCACCTCTGGGCCGCAAGCAGGTCGGCATTTAATCCATATACTCCAGTCTAACCAAGACACCAGCTTCTCGATGTCTTGTCTCCAGTCATTCATTATTTGAGCGACATCAGGCTCTCCATTCAGTTCAACGGGGAAAAGTGTGTCGAGCCCGCTCATGACACCCACGGCCCACATTTTCGTAGTGACCCGACAGACTTCTCTTGTTGTCTCTTCGACGGCTTTTAACAGCAAGCGTTCCGAAGGTGTCATGAAAGGTATTTGGTTGATTATCACGGAAGTGTGTGTTGTGGCGCATAGCCTGAAGATTGGGGATGCCCACTGCAAGGCATCTACACCTGAAGCGCCTGCGCTAGGGACGATGGTGGAATCCAATAGGTACGGCGTGAGCATAACACGGAGCTGTACTTGCGTGAGCTTCGTTCGCTGGGGGACTTCTTGCGAATCTGACGAGGTAAAATTGAGTAGATATTGCATCAACTCCAGCCGATCTGCATATCGATCAACGATGACGTGAGTGAGGGTCTTCCAGTCTATACCACTTCCTGGTTCTGCTCGACTGATGATTTCGGTGAGCTTTCTCTTCACCTGCAATATGTCCTCTGGTGAGATTCCGAGCACCCGGTGATCCCACCGTTCAAGCCCTGCGCGGACCGGGATGAGGGATGGTACTAGTGCAATATCATACAGTGAGATAAGACCAGTCAGGTCAAGCACAATGCGTGAATCTCCTGGGTAGCGATTGTGCCATGAGCCGGAGTGTATGACTTCAAATCTACGAACCCCTGCACCCAGAAACATAAAACATCAGTCGTATCGGAACACGGGAACAAAATACTGACAGGAAACAGCATCCGACGGAGGAGTAGGAGGGATAGGGCTTTCGTCCTGCAGTGAATTTCGGACATGCACGAAAGATACTATCTCGACACCAGCCGTAAAATCACACAACATAACTTCACTGAAAATTCATCAGTCGAAAGCGCGACACAGCATCGAAGCATGCGCACAAGTCCATTTCCATCCTAGAAGTATGAGAATCAGTCATATACCATAGTGAGACGAGTCGCTAACCTCGCGAAACCGTCGATTCCGAGCTCCTTTCCCCATCTACAAAGATCTTTAATCCGTGGTCTTTCATCCCAGCATCGTTCAGGTTGTACTTCTCCCCAGGCTAATATATCCTGTGTATCCATTGTACCCTCGGATAGCTTAGCAGCACTATTTCCATCAAAGTACAAGACTTTCAGAGGTCGCGTTGCTGCCAGCGTGAGGTGCCAGCCATCCTTTCCACGAGCGAAAACAATGGAATGCTCTGGGTCCACAGCGGTCCATTCTGGCTCACTGGGTATCGCATTGCGGCTAGTGCCGTGATAGAGCAAAGTACCGGTCGGTATCACTCCTGGTACTATGTTATGTCCTACGAAAAAAAAAATAGACATTTTTCCAGTATCAGAAAACGGCGAAGACGTACCATGACGATACCGAGTGTTTGGCCAGTGTTGCAGGAGTGAATGAACAGTGTCGAAGATCAAGTTCCCTGTCGCGTTCTCGGCAGGACCTTCGTCAAATCTCCATTGCTCAGTCTTCGAACCGAAACTATATGAATGTGTTTTATCATTATGCAAGTTGGTGATATCGAAGGGTCTTGAAGTTTTATCAGCAGCCTGAGTGTTGAGAGGGAATTGGCCCTGTAGTGCTAGAGCTGCCGATCCTAGGCTCAGAGCTGCCAGGAAGGAATGAGAGCGCATGGTGATAAATCGATAACCACTGGGTGTTATGGCATCCGAGCCTTTATCAATGCATTGAATGTGCTGCGGCGGGGCTTGTAATATTAGTAGTGTCTATAAATAGGTTAACCGAGCAGCAAATTGCTGTGACCAAGTGCCATTACTTCATGTTGCTTACACCGAACTCCATAGGTCACCACTCGTATTCAGAGAATGTTCGGAGCTGCCTGCAGCTCCTGGTTCATTCAGCTCAGCAAGCTCATCCAGCCGGCGGTGATTAGATGCGTCTATCGCGCAGTCAGTAACAAACTCCGTTTTAGCCAAGAACAAACATACCTCTAGGAGCGACCACCCGCATAGTAATGCCCTTGACGAAAAAAAACTGGTCTCTTTGGTTTTCAAGGAGAGGCAAAGGCTCTTCGTCCACGTCAGGGACATCTGTAAGAGACTTGACAACGACTGACAGGTGCTCACAGTGCTGATTGAACATGAAACAAATCCAAGTAGATTGTCGGATGCGCGAGGTGAGTGACTAAGAGGTTGTGGTGTTAGTTTGTCACTCATCTCGGTTTCGACGAACTCTATAGTGGTCATGTTTGTTCCCGCTATCAGGAGGCCTAAGCAGTCCCCGCTTATTTCAGACGCTGCTTGCGACGCATAAAAATACAATTACAGTAAAAATAAGCCATGTCCTCATCTTACCATGGGCATCGGTTTAACTTATGTGCTTGTCTTCTCGAAACTCATCAACGCCCAAATGGACACCTTCGCGTCTGTACTACCAGCAATCAGCCACCGACCACGAACATGCTTTTCCTCAACAGTAATTTCATCCTCGTCGCTAGAGGAGTTATCCTCCTTCAAATCCCCACAAATAGGTACACGATCGATGTGAGAGGCGAAAGTAACCGCTTGGCATCCTTGCTTGTGGTGCACAAGGGTTCCCAGCAACTTTAATGTCTTTGTCGAGTATAATCGCACTCTGCATTATAAGTTAGCTCGATCCAGGTGGCATGGATATCTGATCAACTGACTTGCCGTCCCATCCCCCAATGGCGCATACTCTCCCGTCACTCCGTATGGCAATAGCGCCATTTCCTGGATGTTTGGTCTTGAATGCGGTTCCTGCGGGAGTGGATTCTGAGGTCACTTCCTGGGTCTTCTGTTCACAATCTTAAGGGAATCCATGCAGAGCTACCTGAACACCAACCAAAAGATCATATCGTCCCACTAAATGGTCTGCAGACACTGTTAAAGCAACAGTGCAGTCTGAAGAGACCGCCATAGCCATCACTTAAAATAATGCGTTAGAATCCCACGGCAATGTTGCATATACAACGAACCTGATTCTACATGAAGTTTGGATTTCCACACGACTTCCCATCCACGGCCCTCGACAGTCTGTTTGTTTTCGGGTGCAGTCCGCTTTCGCAGGACAACGCTCCCATCTTCGTATGCGCATAACAGACGCAGCTCGCTTGTCGACGTAGAGGATGAGGGTGCAGACAACGCAGAGTAAAAAAGGTGCATTGACATGATGATCCCGGATTTGCTGCCTGACCTACCATCCGAAAAGGCTGTTGCAGAGGTGTCTAGTGGATCACCTATAGCAGCGTGGAGCCTTTGACGCGATGGAAGTGACCAAACATCTGCCTGGTCAGTTCGTACTGAGATCACGCCGTACCCCACACCAAAGAGATTACCCACAAGAGCTGATTCCACGAGGTTCGGAACGGCAAGTAGACCTTCCTGCGCGCCCGCTCCCGCTAGGATAACTAGAGAGAACCTGCAGTAGTTGAGAGCGTTGACATCCATAGAGTAGCATATCGTTGGTGTTGATAGATCTGACAAAGTTGCAGGTCCTTGTCTGATGAAAGCAGACTCTTCGGGTCGCGTCCAAACGTGGAGTTTATTATCCCTCCCATGTCTAGTCACAGCATCAGAAGACAATGCCAGGACGAAAAAGACAGCTACTCACGTTATGATTTGAGAACCCCATTCTTCAATGCCCAGCAGTGAGTCGGTGTGAGCTTTCCATGATGCGAGTGGTCGCAATGAACGAGTGGAGGTGACGATAGCTTGTCCTGTGGTGTCTCCAGAGTAGATTCTCTCATTGTCCGTCGAAATGAAAAGAGTGCTCACTGCGCTGGAATGTGAGCGTAGCAGATGAATAGGCGAAGGTGCTGGCAGAGCCATACTACGCAACAGCGCGGAAGTTGCCGTGCTTGAAGAGTCTGTGGCTAATGGCGTTCACGAAGGATTCATCATTCATCATTCCGACATCATTGACTGACCACAGCAGCGAGCTGAGCGCTGGCGCTGATTCCCCAACTACTCGATGTTTTTATTCAACGCTGTTACGATAACTTAGGTCGTCCTCCAGTCACCCGCCAGTTTGTGACAGTTTGAGAAGCATGGCATGCCTCGGAACCTCTGGTTGAGCTTGGCACCTGCGCTCACGGTCTCGCTTAGTCTCCCATGGGACATCATGGTCAGACCATGGAGAAATCATTCCTTTGCGCCGACTAGGTAAGCTGTTGGGTGTAGATTGTGCATCCACGTGCAAGTACGGATGTCTCAGTTGAGTGATTACGATTCAGACTAGGGGGCAGCTTTCCAT